CTAGGAACTCAGGGGATTATCAAGAACTATAAACATAAATAATAGTGTAAGTTCTTCTGCGACAAGTTCTAGTGATATACATTGCAACCTCTCATGTAGAAACTACTCATCATATAGTAACACTACTGTAACTAGTGATAACTCTGAAACAGACTATAGCGATTGTGAAAATTCCCACGCTTATGTAAACACCGATTGTATTGAAATTATGTACTTTAAATGTATGTGGGTTGAAACGTAAGATATTATACCCCGAATTTATAGAAACTGTTAGTCATTATGATTTTTTTGGTATAGTTGAAACAAAATTAGACGAAAATGATATAATTTCAATTCCTGGTTATGAGTTTATTAGTATGCCAAGAAAACAAAAATATAAAAGGAAATCCGGAGGGATCGGTGTATTTGTAAAAAATAATTTGTTTAATAAAACAGAAATATTGAGTAGCGAATCTGAATATGCATTATGGATAAAAATTAATAATATTTACTATGGTAGTGATATAATTATAGGTATTGTTTATATACCACCACTACACTCTAGATTTTATAAGTTAGATGAGTTGGAACTTTTTGAAAATGATCTTGCTTCTCTTAATAGTTTATATGAGTACATATTTATTTCAGGTGATTATAATGCTTTAACTTCAAATATGGCAGATTATACTGAAAATGATGATTTTTTGACTGATTTTTTCAATCTTGACCAAGATACTGTAGCATATTTTGATCAGGTCTCGCAAATGGAATCTCTTGGCATACCAGTTAATAGAAATTCACAGGATAGAAAAAAGAATAACACTGGTTTTCTGTTAATTGACATGCTGAAAAACCTAAACTTAATCATAGTCAATGGACGCTTTCCCACTGACAGCATGGGAAAAATGACTTTTAGAAACATCTCTGTTATTGATTATTTAATTTGTTCATTGCAAAGTTATAATTTACTTAACAATTTTGAAATTATAGAGGTAGATAATCTTCTGTCAGATGGTCATTGCATGGTAGAATTTTATTTGAAAATAGGGAACTTACAACAAGAAAGTTCCAGTTCAAGAATATTTATTAATAAAAAACCAATATGGGAAAACAACAAAAGTAGCATATTTGAAAATAACATAGATACTGAAACTATACACACTATTATAAATGACATAGAACAAAATAAGGATACATTAAGTCAAACTCAAATGGACAATATTTTCTCAAACATGGCTGAAATCTATCTTGAGAGTGCCCAACTTAGCTTTATAAGTAAAAATAGTATAAATAATACCGCAAAAAAGAAATCAAACTATAAGCCTTGGTATGGCAGTGACTGTAAAAAGGCAAAAAAGTCTTATACAAAAGCAAGAAAAAAATATTGTAAAAATCCTACAGAATACAATAGAACAACCTATATTTCCTTATGTAAGCAGTATAAGAAAACAATGAATAAATATATTAATAAGTATAACAAAACTAATGAAGATAAATTCCGAAAACTTGAAAAAAAATCAACCTAAAGAGTACTGGAAACTATTAAATAAATTAGGGAAAAAAAACAACACAGGAGCAACCTACAAAGGAGTCACTGTACAATTTCTTTAAAGATATAAATAATAACCTTACCATTTTCAAACATTTTAGTGATTATATTACAAAATACAAAAATTGAGAAAATTGAGTCATCAAACAGTATAGAGCCCGGTCAGACTACAAGGTTGTGTTGGCTGGTCAGGCTCTATACTGCTGACCTGCCACTTAAAATATAATTAAATATAAGTCCCAGTGCTAACAAAGGCTATGTGCTTTCAATTTTAGCAGATAAAGTGCTAATAATATTTTACCTTTTTTTCTCAAAATTCCAAGCTTCCAAGCCCTGGGGTCAAAATTGGCCCGGCCCCAGGGGGCCATTGATTTTCCCTATATGCATATAGTAAAAACTTAAAAATCTTCTATTAAAGAACCGAAAGAGCTAGAACTAAGATATTTAGCATGAAACATGTTCTAATGGATGTCTACCAAGTTTGTTCAAATATGAGCCCTGGGGTCAAAATTTTCCCCACCCCGGGAGTCATTGATTTTCCTTATATGTGTATAGCAAAAACTTAAAAAATCTTTTTTAAAAAAAAAAAAAAAAACAACAAAAAACAAATAGATAGAGTTTAGATACTAAGCATGAAACATCTTTTTGTGAGTGTCTACCAAGTCTGTTCAAATAAAAGCACTGGGGTCAAAATTGGCCCCGCCCCGGGGGTCATTCATTTTCCTTATATGTGTGTAACAAAAACTTAAAAAATCTTTTTTGAAAAAAACTCAAATAGCTAGAGTTAAGATATTAAGCATCTTCTAGTGAGTGTCTACAAAGTTTGTTCAAATAAAAGCCCTGAGGTCAAAATTGGCCCCATCCCGGGGGACATTGATTTTCCTTATATGTGTATAGCAAACACTTAAAAATCTTCTTTGAAAAAACCCGAATAGCTAGAGTTTAGATATTAAGCATGAAACATTTTCTAGTAAGAGTCTACAAAGATTGTTCAAATAAAAGCCCTGGGGTCAAAACTGGCCCTGCCCCAGGTGTGTCATTGTTTTTAACTATATGTGTAAAAAAATCTTCTTTTAAGAACCCAACGAGCTAGACCTTAGATGTTTAGCATGAAACATCTTCTAATGGGTGTCTACCAAGTTTGTTCAAATAAAAGTCCTGGGGTTTAAACTGGCCCCGTTCCAGGGACCTATATACAGGTGAGCGACTTCAGGGCCATCATGGCCCTCTTGTTGTAATTATCTATGCTTCTGAAAAAATTGTGTTGCAGTGATTATCCGAAAAAAAAGCTTAAAAATATGTAATATTTTTAGCCCATTTTTTTTCTTGTAAAATGTTCAGGTGTCAGGGCTTTTTCAATATAATACATATATAGACTAAAATGCAAGAAGAAGAATCACAGAATGGCTGTCGTCAAAGACGGAATCTCTAGCTCTTGGTCAACTGTTTCGCGGAAACTTACGGCTCGGAGCTAAATATTCCGGGTATGATATTTAGCATATTTATTGCGTTTCGTTCAAGCCTTGATAAATAATGACTGGAATACAAAACGTCTTGAAAACACAAATTGCTAGCTTTACAAAGAAAGTAGATCGTATTCCGAAATGAATTATTGTGTCAAACATTGAAAAATAGCTCAACACAGATCTTGGAGCTTTAAGCTCGATTATAACTTACAACTGACACCTCATTACGTATGACGTCATACATGACGTCAATAAACAAAATGACGTCATATATCTAGATGACATGAACTAAAAGTATGTAGATAATTTCATATTTTTTAATGTTAATTTGAAAGAGTTGCACAGTTGCTAATCTTGCCTTATTAGAACAAGATCTACTGTAGGTGTTCGCACGCATTCCACAAGAGAGCACACACTGTGGACTGTGGTTTTGGAAATCTATGTCCCTATATCGTCAGTCGGATATATTGTGACGCCATGCATCAACAGCATCCATTTTAAATTCAGCTATTGAAGAAAAGTCTGTTAGCTGATTGGAAAGTGGCAGTACGGGGATTCAGCGATACAGTACTGAAATTTAATGTCTCGCCCAACGCAGTGATCGAAGTTAAGATTTGTAAACAACAAAGCGAGTATGAATGATGCGCTGATTAAACGGGGTTTTATTAAATGACTAAATAAAGTAAATATACTAACGTTAAAATTTGAAAATGGAACGATGTTACTGGACAAAATTAGACCTATTGGAATTATTTTCCAGTCTCATTAAAAACGCGATGTTAGAAGTACTTTCCTATGAAAAGTTACTCATATATTCTGTTTGACAGAGTGATTCCTTTGTCGTCACTGTATTGTTAATGCTTACGATGATGTAAGGAGGTGAAACATTTGTTTGCAAATTAGGATTTTACGGAAGAACCTTCCAGAAATTAAACTCAGATTTAAAGATCGCACTTATAACTATTAAAGGCGCGTGCAATTCGAAAAAATCAAACAAACGCAAACTTATTCTTCAGGGCTATGCAAGTTACTAAGCCTAAACATGAAGTTTTTAGATGATTTTGGTTATGAGCAACGCTACAGTACATAATTAAATATTTAATATAAACGAAATAAACATGTAGATCTACTGTATGCTAAATAAACTATTTTCATTCATTGAAACCTTCCAAGAAAATAACTTAGTATCTAACTTAAGATTTTTTGTTGGCATAGCTGGCGATTGATGAATCTTCATTTTCCAGAATTTTATACTCGCGTGTGTTATATTTTGTGTGGCAGTTGTAAAATATCATTCCTTACTACATCTTAGTGCTCTAGGTGGTGGTGGTGTTGGTAGTTTTCACTCCGGATCACGGCAGCAAGCCACATTGAATTTACCAGCACAGTTCAGCCACTGCATCGTTTCTGGGCAGACTGTCATGCAGTTAACCAGTACTATGTTGCCTTCACTTTCGCAAGGAACTGATTACTTCTGTACATGCAAGAGCAGAGTTATTATGAGAATGAGCGTAATCAATCACAACAAAAGTGGCTGCGTCGTCCGGGAATCGAACCCGGGTCGCTCGATTCACAGTCCAACGCTCTATACCTATTGAGCAAACCGGACGGCTTTCTAGTGCTTCCCTGATGATTATATACCGCTTCGTCCGTTGCTAGGAGACTCCAAAGATGTTGTCGTTAATAAACCCTAGTTTGCGATTATCTCTTAAGTTTTGTTCGTTTGGGGTTTTTTATACCATTTTTTTTTGGAAATTCTGATACAAATATCTATTTTTATATAATCGTATACAGAAATTTGCGAAATCATAAATATTAATGTGCCCCACCCCCTCACCGCCCCTCTTGGTATAGGCCATTATGCGAGGTCCATCTGATCATTGGATGTCAACATTTTTTAACGAAAATTACGCAAAAATAAATAGTGATTTAAAGTGCGTAAAATTTTGAGTTAAAATCCTGGATCCGCGCCTGTAGAAGTGCAGCAATCTACAGATATACATACACGTACTTGCATATAATTTTATTGTCGTTCGTTCTTACACTTACACCGTGTGAAAAATGAAATACGCGTGATTTACTATTCTGGAAAACGGGTACGTGGTATTTGTGATTTAATGTAGATCTTCTAAACGAAGTATAGTGTGATCATTGTAAAACAATGTAGAATGTTTTTAAATTCAGTGTCGTGCCAAATGACAAATTAAATTTATCTTGATCTACTTTCGTTTTTAGAGTAGGCCTATGTAATATTGTGTAATTGTGCTACGAGTTAAGATTTGTAAATATTGTGCTATTTCATAAATGGCCTATTTGTGTCGGAACAAAAATATCTCATCGTGAATTATAGCTTTTAATGTCAACATGCTTGACATATTGTACGTGTGCATCTTGACATAAACACGTTCATCATTAAAAGTTTTAATAAAGGGAAAGATTGAGTAAATACTGTTATTGTATCGATTTCATAACTTACATAACATAAAAAGCATGTACATATTTCTTTTTACAGTTATCTATGCTTTTTTATTATTGCATTATATTCCGTCATCATTTTTTGCATTATGTCATTATTTGCGTGCATAAATCAATATCTAAGTGATAATGGCCTTTTTACTCATGTTTGTGTAGCAAACGATACGTGCATATAATATCAGTGAATTATTCAACTCCGATTAACTTAAGATATATTCCGGTAAGTTATAGATAATTCAGCTTTTTTGTATAGATCCAAGGTAAAATTATCTTCAGTAAATTTTATCTTGGTTTATACATATTTTACCGACACATTATCTGCCTTGTTAGATTCATAACTCATTTATATAAGAACCGGAAGATTTTGTCACAAAAAGTATTATATTTTCTTCAATTATAGACTGATTTTCATAAATGATATACTAGTTTAAGAGATTGAGCGGCTGTAGTAAAATAAATAGTTAAATGTCATCCGTAAGTTTACATTTGTGATTTTAACGTGTTCACATAGTGATATATATATAGTTTAACTTGAAAGTTATTGATTTCATTATATTTAAACAACTTGATATCATGTAAAACCTTTATCATGTTTGTGGACGAATTGGAAGTGAATGATTGCTAATCGCTACAGTTTCATATGAATATTTTTTTGTTTTTGTGAATATTTTAGCGTGTTTTTTATTTAACCTAACAAAATAGCTTCCTCATAAGCATACACTTAACCTTTTTCTACCTCCTTAGATATATCATCATCATCATCATCATCAGTGTTTAGTTGTATAAATTTGTTATTACGTAGAAGTTATAGCCGATCAGATATACCACTGTTCTGCAAACTAGAGCCTCAAAATAAATGTTAATAAAACAAATGGTCTATGTGATTTTGAAAAATGTCAATACCTCAGAGAAAATGAGTTGGTTATAATGCCATTTGTGACTCACTAAATTATATCGATGTTTAAGTTAAATACATGTACTTCATATTAAAACTTCAGGATAAAGATTCAGAATTAGAATAAAGTGAAAGGTACAAAAGGATTGCTAAATAAATTGATAACAAGCAAAGTAGAACCATGGCGGAAGGAGGGGAGACGATAGAAAATGGTAAAGTGTATTTATAATTATAATAAAGTTGTTTCTAATTTTTTAATGGAAATCTTCTTTGGTACCTGTCTCCTTATGTTATTTCTATTACAATCTTATCTTCTTATCTAAATGTATATTGATAAAATAGTTTTTGTACAGAACAGAAGTGACTTTGTAAAATTTTTGAAAGATACTGTGACTGAAATTAGATTTTTGTTTTAACAATTTTAAAGATATTGTCAGAGTTAAAGTGTTGAGATTCAACGATTTTGGTAGATATATAGACATATTGTGCGAACTTAATCATTTAATTATTAATCAAAAATATTGTGATAATTTTAAACAACAGTAACAAATTTTAAATCATTATTACAACTACATATAAAGATATTGTAGCAATTGAAAAGATATTGTAGTAATCATTACTACAATATCTTTACTTGTAATGATAATGATAATAGAGATACTGTATCAGTTAGAAAGATAGGACTATCATAAACATCTCGTAATTGATTATAAAATGTAATATTAGTTGACTGATGATAATGTAACGAAATAGTGTATAAAGCAATGGTTTCAAAGTAGTGGTATTAGTTTCAGCTATCTGGCACAAAAGATATTAGGAAAGAGGTCCTTATTTTTGGCTATTCAGTTATTTTTCATAGAATCCTTTCTATTATATATGTATGCCAGTCTGCTGTACATAAACTATTTTTTACAAAGCAAAATAATATTTTTTAAATTTCTTATGAGAAAAAAAGACAACCAGTTTCTCTGTTGTTGCACTTTCTTAGTTTTAGCTGCAGATGATAAGGTTTTTGTTCCAGATACAGAACCTTACAGGAGAGTTTTAGATAAATGCAGGAGAAAATTTGTAGATGATCTTGAACCCATTGCACTATTGGACGTCTTTGTTGAAGAAGACTATATTACAAACACAAAGGAACGAGATATAAAGGTATATATCAGTGTTGTATGGAAAAAAAACAACACCAAACACAACCTCAAATCTAGGTAAAGCTTACAATGTTAATTATCAAAGCAATGATATTGTTTGTTCAGAGAAGCCCGTCTTGCCAAAAGCTCTGTACATTCCGCCAAAGACATGTTACTTCGTTTGTGATTGTTACTTAGTAAACTGGATTGTTACTTCGTTAACTTGATTATTGAAAAGAATTCTCGTTAAGTACTGTGTTGTGCTGTTTTTCTTTCGCTTCATCGTGAAACAGAAGTTTTTTATGATATTTTAATATGTAGCAACACCATATGTTCCCCCTTTCTCTTTCAAATAGGAGCTTCCGAACACTTCGTACATGAACCGACAAATCTTGGATATTGTTAGGCCAAAAGGTATTACTGGATATATTCAATTCAAAACCTACTTGAGAACGTCTCGCCAGGAGTATTTAGCTGATCATCTGGAATCCACTGAAACTCAACTTATTGGAACAACTATTAAAGATGAAAACAATGCACAAACTGTCACCAAAAACACAGGTAATATTTCATTGCATTATTTCATTCTGTTTACTAATGAGATGAAAGACACACTATAGGTTAACACAGTATGTATACATAGTGTCATCAAAATAACCTAGGTTTTGTAAAGAAGGGACCAAATTAACTTTACCAGGACTAGGAAATGCAGCTTCCCGAACATTGTCTGTGCATTCTCTTATTCAAATAAGACATACTCAGTAAGACTTTCCTAGATTTCAAAACATTTCTGCAATAAAAGAATTTTACCCTGAGATAAGCATATCTATATAGATATATCTTTAACTAGATGAACACTGTGGGAAGAAATAATTTAAAGTAGACCAAAAATAAATTTTGTAACTCATTAAACTGCGTCTTAAAACGTAGGCAACAGAATGATGAATGCTTTTTGATGGGAGGCCAGGGCAGGTAGAAGAAGTACCTTACATATTTAAATACCAACAGGATGTTCTCTGCCAAGCTATTAAAGAAGATAACTAAACAAATGCCTAATTATTAATCCCGTAATGATCTTTTCCCTAGGCTATACATGCACGGTCTGTGATGTTGCATATGAAACTGTGGAGCTATTGGTACAACATACACAAACCATGGAACATCTTGATCTGATTCAGAAGCAAGAAACATTTGCAAAAGAGATTGTAGAAGATTCAACTGAAGATAGCAACGACATGTCGGAAGTTTCGAGTGTAAACGAGGAAAATGTATTTGATTCCTCTGTCCAAGTCAGCAAATGTTACATTTGCGATGTTTCTTTTACATCTTCGTCGCATGCAGATAGTCATTTAAGTGGAAAACCTCACAAAAAGCGGAAATCACTGTTTGAAACGAGAAGTCAGATGTCTAGTCCTGGTTCCAGTGAAAGCCATACAGTTAAAATGAAGGTTGTAGACCAGCCTGATTGCGGTTTATCTTTAAGAGTAGAAACATTGAGTTTGGGGAGCAATACAGGCATAATTGAGGAACGCAGAAGGATGCTTTTCTGTGAGGTTTGTCAAGTTCCATTCACTGGGATAGAAAGTGAAAAGCAACACTATGATAGTGATAAGCATAAAAAGAAAGTAAGAGTACTCGAACAGCAGAAACAAGGCGAGGCGTTTCCTTTGCAATGCGAAATCTGCAATTCCAGCTTTAATGGCCAAGAAAGTGCTAAGGCGCATTTTAACAGCGACAAACACAAGAAGAAAGCGAGTACATCACTCACTGAAGGCTCGGCTCTATCATGTGATGCTTGCAACTGTTCTTTTAGCGGTCCTGAAAATGCAGCGGCTCATTTTGCCAGTGAAAAGCATAAGAAGAAAGTGAGTGTATCACTCACTGAAAGCTCGGCTCTATCATGTGATGTTTGCAACTGTTCTTTCACCGGCCCTGAAAGTGCAGCGGCTCATTTTGCGAGTGAAAAGCATAAGAAGAAGGAACTCAAAGCAAAATCAGACGCACCTGAAGAAAGTTTACTGTCTTGTGCCATCTGTAAATGTCCGTTTTCTAGTGAGGAAAATGCCAAGCAACATTATGCGGGAAAGAAACACAAGAAAGCACTTGCTATTTATCAAGAAAGTACGTAGATTTTCGGTTCTCATATCATCACTTTGTCTTTGAGAAAATATGGAACATGTATGATGCATATTCGATGTAGCGCATTGTAAAGTTAAGATTAAGTAATTACTGTATTGTCTAAATAAGAGCATTAGCTTGTAATAACACCCCGTTTAATGTCCATTTAATTAAAGGTGAAGTGAAACAATACATATAAAGACCAATAATGTGGATGATTTACATTTTAACTATATGTAGTTTATCATTTTAGGTGAAAGGCGTTTAAAGGCAAACTTTCAAAGGTAATTGCTTACTTTGTTTGTTTTCTTTAAAGAAACTCGATTAAGGTTCAAAAGTCCAAAAACATCGTACATCCATGATTAACAAAGGCATTTAAATATGAAAAAGATTATAACAAACATACTCATAATTAAAGTGGAGACTGGTATTTAGTGCGATTCGTAGACCGATTTGAGTTAAAAGTTTTTAAACGCTTTTTATTTTTAAGTAATTTTGCACAATTTATACGGTTATTCTAGAAAGAAATGGAGTGAGCGAATGATCTAAAATTTTGCACATAAGTCATTGGTAAAGACATACTACAACGGGTATAATGTATGCCATCATGTCAAAATAAAAACCTCAGTGGAGTCCAACAGCTATAAATGCGTTTTGTTCTAATCAAGATGCCACTATATTAAACGTTTTATCAAAATATCCAACAGAATGAATTACATGTAGTTTATACCTATATTTATAGAAATTTGATGCTCATTATGTTACTTAAGGCATATCATTATTTGAAGTACAGAATAAGCAGACATAGGTAAAAATTTTGTTTAATTATATTTATAACAGCAACAGCATGTCTTATAATGAGGGTAGCAGCGTTACTAATAATGAGAGTAACAATAATATAGCGGCCAATAGTGACACCAACAACGCGGCTCAGAGTGACCGATACAAAGCTGTCGAGGGTGACCGTAATCATTTTAATGACGACACCAACTCTGCTCAATCAACCACCGAAGCAGATCCCGAAAATGATAATCATGAAAATTCCGATGAAGATGAAGATATTTCAGCTGATATAGAACGTTTACTTTTAGGGGAAAACTGAGAAAAAAAAAGGATAGATGATTTTGCATTTTACTTCAAAAGTACCAGCCTGAGTAAAATAAACTTTTTCTGATACATGCTACAATTTCATTATCCTGTCTGTTTTAATTTGTATTAATATATTTTGATATAAGAAATAACTTGTTTGTATATTTAAATGTCGTGTAACTTCTGCCTTTACATGCATGGAATGTGATAGAAGGCATTAAAATACAAGCAAACATTGTTTAAGTTTGCATTTGCCTGTAAACTGACTTTTCTAATTCAACACTTAACCTGCTGGATTTTAGTACTGGATTTTCAATTCATAGTCCATTCAAAGTTCAAGGTATTTCAGTTCCAAAGTGCAAAAGCCCCAAGCTTCCAAACGTGTAAAGCCTTACCAGGAGACAAGGATGTGCACACTTGTCAGTGGCTCTATACTGGTGACAAAGGCTAATCAATTTATGTTCTGACAGGTTATGGGTTGGTGAGGTTATGAAAATGTATACATAGTTCGAAATGACATATGCTTCAATATGTTTGCTCAAATTTAATCATTAACATCCATTAGTCATATAAAATCAAACGATTCTAGTGCGGATTTATTTTACCTGTAATACATCTATCTTTGATAGATAATTTGATCCTGATATCAAAAAAATGATGTTTATAGATTAAAGAAAAATATGTATGTGGCGCATGTGTGAAATTACCGCTAAGCCTATTTAAAGAGCATTCTAATATTTAATAAGAAATGTTTTGTTTTCATATAAACTACATTTTTTTTTAGATAAAAGAGACAATTTAAAATTTCTCTCCAATTATGATAAATAGAATATGAAAGCAACGAAAATATACAGTTTTTAAATGTTGTTGATATATTTTGCAAGTTATACTTATATATACCCTTTAAAGTTATTAAATTTTTATGACAATCAAATTATTTGATTATACATGTATTTATTTGTTTAAGAGATGTATTTAAAATTTAACTTATTAATTTAAAGCAATTATTTATGAACTCTGGATGCTGTGGCTTTTTAATTTATGCTTGTTTATTTCGATTGGATTATTTACATGTATATGAAAAATAATTCTATGTACAATTGATTGAATACATTAAATGAAAAGAGCATAATTTATATAAGAAACTTTGTTTTATTCTCTTTTTGAAACCATGGCGATAATCTTTGAAGAAGATCGAGCACTACCTTGTCCTTGAAATGCTTAAATCGAAACTGCAAAAGTTTTGTCCACTAGGTTTGTAGCCCAGCTTATCTGTACTACAATTTTACTGTATGATCGACTTCTAAATTTACATGCGATATCTTAAAGGTCCATTATGCCCCAGAAATGCTTTTGAGTTTTATTTCTCAAAAACATTTTATTTTTTGTGTATTTTATAGTTTCCAAAATGTGACACATTGGCCAATTACCTGAATCATCTATTTTCTGTTCCTTTTTGGCAAAAGTACAGTTAAAGTGATAAAGTATTTTGTATAGAAGTCAAACTATTACTGTGTTTACATTTTTTCTACTTTTATGACAAATAATTTCACATTTAGCGGTCCTTTCGTCAGGTAAGCTGCATTATTTCTTATGCAATAGTGTGCAGGTTCTACCGGAAGCAGTGAGACCAAACGATCATAAAATGCATTAATACAAATTTGTAGGGCTCAGTTGATTTATATTTGTACACACAGATGTTGAACTTAACAACAACAACAGAAAGTACATAGTTTTTAGTTTTTTTTTTAATCAATGCATTTAATATCTATATTCTTTTACAGATTTTATTTGCATATCCTTATAAGAGATATTAAGATTCACTAGACATGTATTTATTGAACTCTATATGTAAGGTTGGAGATGGTAAACGATATTATTTTGTTTGTTATAGGACCAGGTCCGGTTTATTATAAAGGCTAAGCCTTAGTAGCTGCAGTACCTAACCCAATTAACAATCAAAGCATCACGACTTTATCCAGAATTTAATTTAGTTCGATTGTGTAGGAAGCTATAAGCTTATAGACACACGTTCGGATCCATTCCAGGAACCAACCAGTACTGAGCAATGAGTGTAAAGTTTCTTGCTCAAGGAAACAACAACTTGCCCCTGACGGGGTTTGAACCCATGCGGATAGCAAACAACAACTATTCGATTGGTTAACTTTATACTTCTGTGTATACAATGTCATAAGGATTATGGAAAATCTCAGATAAATTGAGAATAATAGAGGTCCGTAATTATCCATCCTATAAGGTGTTGTCTTGCTTTATTTTTGAAAAATGAAGGTGACAGTCTTTGACATTTCTATTATAAATGAATTTACAATCACTTTTATTGTGCGCAGAAGATGCAACATTGGGCTACATACCGTGCCTACCTTTTATCCGGAAAATCCAAAAGAACATCTTTTTTTTATCTGATAGATTTTTGAAAGTGTATGCACGTAAATCACGCGTTTATACAAGTACGAGAGTTAATCCTGTATACATGCACTATAAAGTCTACCGTCGTAATATACAAGTTTACAAAGTTGTACACTGATGTAATGAAACCTTCCAACTGTGCTCAATAGTTTTATCATTTACATTAACAACATTTAATTAGAACTATATTTTCGTTCTCGTGAAAAAACAACAACAACAAACATACATTTTAAAAGCAGAATAAGCCATTTATTTTAAATTGTGACAAGAAACGCATTTAACATTTTTAACAGCTGTTGGAAGTCTAAATTGACAGTTTTTCCATGTGGAGAAAGTGGTATCATAACATTCGACTGTCTGATCAATTTTCTCGTCTTCGCAGTTTTTCCCGCCAATCACATACAACTTGCTTCCTGAAATAAGGTAAGGAAAATAACTATGAATCCTCATTTTCCTCTTTTTTCACTAGATCAATATATATTTAACGACATAGAAAGTAATGTCCAGTGTGCACTTATATATAAGACGCAGCTGCAATGGGGAGATTTGTTGATTTGCACGATGGTACCTGCCACTCGAAGCAGCAAGACTCCATGTTAATCTTTTCATGAAAATTTTGAAAATGTGTATAAAAGTAATATTGTGAAGTTAACAAAGAAAGTAATTCACACATTGCAAACGACACTAACAGCCAAAGAGAGGTCAAAATATGCAAAAAAAGCCCTTACTGCCTTAGTCACAACACGCGTAGTATAAATATGGCAATAAATACTGCAAAAATCAGTCATTAATTGCACATTACGTGTAAATTATTATCTAAACCTCGAATATTTTTACTTTTCTTAAAATCTTAACAAATTTTTCTCAAGTTTGGTTTTCTCGTTTTCTATTTTGGTTCATAAAACAAGGTAGTTATTTTGTTAAGCGACGAACTTTTTGTAAGAAGCAAAATGTATGTGAACATTTTCATTTTTTCCTGCAGATTTAAAAGTGACAAAATTGAAAATACATTTTGTATTTTCATTATGTACATTTGACATGTGTTTCTCGTTTATATTAAAAGCAAAATAGTTTTATAAGACACTTATTCTTATCAATTTGGGCGAATCGGTCAACTTTCACATCATCCAACCGACATATTGACCGTTAGATCATATTGTCCTTTAGATTACGAATCTTAAAGCTTGTAATTTCATCATCATTGACTAACTCACCAACAGTCACAGCGCTAACTTCCTGTCTTGCAGACGACATTTTCGTTCGGAAACCCCAGCTGTTCGTCAGAATATTATACTCGTCAATACTGGCAACACTCACTAAATCTCGTTTACGAGCCTTTTCTTCTCGGTAGGTGGCGCCACCACATAGCAACAAGCGGCCTTGAACGTTCACCAGCGTTGCGTGACATAAAGGCATTCGGAGATACCCGGGCACGGACCATCTGGAATGAAATGTGTTTTATGTGAAGTTAAAAAACCAAAACATTTCAGTTCACAATTGATAATTACGCTCTTAAAGATAAAGGTCAAGGTCATAACTGAAAACAGTGTATATCGTTGTTAATAATACTGCACGTTAGTTCCTATATGTCAAAATTCCTTTGTGGTGTCCCTTTAAACTTAACAACATGGTCTAGCTGGATAAAACCAGAGAAAGTTTTAAATTATGTTCTGACTGAATAGGGAAAAGCGCAGAACATGACCAGACGACACGGGTTTGTCCGCTGATCTGTGGCTGTACTGGTCGCATAGGTCGAATAGGTAGATAAAATCATTGCCAGCAGGCTAAATGTTAAAGTAATGACAATAATTGTGAAATAAAAGTTCTAGGAAAAACATTTGCTCATATAAAACACGTTGCATTATGTTTAAAGTATAATGTTACATAAAAACTAAGAAATAACTTCAAGGCACAAGGTACAAATAATGGGCTAGAAAGATTTATCTTTCACACACGTAATTTGTAAATGTACGAGTGTTTACCAACATCATGCAGTTCCTATATCAAATTTTGTATTACTCTCATCAAGGTTATCATTTCCTATATAAATGCAACAGGCATACAAGTTTTATCATAGAAGGCTAAAACAACACTCAAAATATGAAAGAAAGAAAGAAAGAAAGAAAGAAAAGAAAAAAAAGAAAGAGAAAGAAAGAAGATAGAAAGAAAGAAAGAAATGAAATGAAAAGAAAAGAAAAGAAAGAAAAACTTACTTTCGGCTTCTTGGATCATAACAGATCATGGTCATGCGCACTCTAGGGGTTGGATCATCGGCATTGTGTGTCATACCTCCTGCGATATAACACTTCCCTCCGAGTGTGGTTGCAGACCCCGCATATATCGGAACTGGCATTTTCCATAAAGCTACCCACCTGTTCATTACCGGACTGTAGTACTCACACGAATCTAACGCGCTTTAAACAGAAAATGATTGTTTATTAAAAATTAAGAAAGAGCACATGACATGCATAGCCTCTAGAACTATAACAATATATTACATATTCGAAACTTTAGCAAAACTTAAACTGTGATTCAAATGTAATTTGCAAAAAAAACAACATTTTTTCTTGATTCTATCATGGCTTGAATGAAACTAATGGGCGAGTGGTTAAGGTCGTTGAGTTCAAAACCACTTGTCCCTTATCGCGGTAGATTCGACTCCCGTCAGGGACTTCAAGTATTCTTTAATATGAGGAAGTTATCCAACTAGCTTATGGAACGTCGGTGGTGCTCGTGCCTGAAATTAGGCACGGAGGGGCACCGGACGTCTTCCTTTACCATTAAAGCTTGAACGTCACCACAGGTCACTGGACCTCTTCAAGGTTGGTGCGACGTAAAAAGCAACCAAAAAAATTAAGAGTCGACCATCTTGTTGTCATTCAAGTTTTTGTAAAGATACAAATTTAAAACAGAAATTGATTTTATTTAAACTTGCCTGATCTTAAATTATGATAACAGCGCGAACAAAGTGAGGTTCACTGGCATAGTTTTCAGCCCTTGTATTTGATTTTTTATTTTTGTTAGTTTC